CCACCTACACTGGCTACCTACACTGGCTACCTACACTGGTCGGTATTGGAGGTCGGTAAATACATGTTATCTGTAGACTAAATGATAACGATTTGGCTTTCCATGTTCGCCGATTACACAACCAGCTGTATCTCGAACAAGATGAGTTATTGACGAGACGAGCCGAGCTCAAGGGAGAGCCTAGCCCGGAGTTGTTAGCGCTGTTGGAAGCCACGGACTGGGCGTTCGGCGAAGTTGGTTTGACGAGGACTTATGCGAATTTTGGCTCACCAGAATTGGGCTTGGCTCCACAGCCTGTAGCGCGTGTGGAAGAGGTTCCTATGGAGCTAGCAAATTGGGGCTCCCGGGTTGGTCGTGAAATCAGCAATTGGATTTATGAGGATGCGGACGGCGGCTCGGACTACACAAGAGACGGCTCTTACGGAAGAGGCGGTTCGGAGGGGTCTCGTCTGGCACCAAGTGCGAGTGTAGACTGCGCGTTCCCGCCGGGTCTACAGAGGACGAGACGGGCCGAAGATGTGGTCAGCGTGCGGCAAACCGACCTAATGAGGCTACCCGGTAGAATGCGGCAGAGAGTAGTTTCCGAGGACGAGACCGGGAATTCGATCGAGGCCCGGAAGGGTGAGGAGATCGTGGGTGAAGAGCCGGATCAGCAGCTGGCGAGAGCCGCAAGGATTTTACCGATCGTGAATCCGTTCTTGGAAAATGTAGTTAGAAAACAAGCGATTGAGTCGGCTACGGGAACTGAGCCCTTAGCTGCGGTCGCGCAGGAGAGTGTACAGAAGGAGAATGTAGAGCTGTCGCCGCTGTCATCAAGAACGGAGCCGGTATCCGGCACGGTGCCAGAGACGGCGCGTTGTCCATTGCGGCGGACGCGTTCTGCGGACCATACGGCATTGGTGCCGTATCGGCGAACTCCGGAGTGGTTGCGTGCAGTGCGAGGTGGTGGGGCGCGGGGTGAATTACGGAGGAGCGATGAGGAATGTGTGCGCGCTTTTGTGGACGCATGTCGGGGCAATCCCCGGTTCGAATCCAGGCGGCGGTTCCGGCAATTCGGGTTTGCCGGTTTCCAATTGGCGTTAATGGATGATGTGGACATGCTCGAACCAGATACTCTGCTCAAACCGGAACAGGCTCTCGCTGATTGCGACCACTTCGATGTCTGGCTCGAAGCTACCCTCACTGGAGCGGAACAAATCGCGCTGATTAAACAGACCCCCGCTGGTCTCTTCCGCGGCGCCAACCTTGTTCAGGCTTCTGCACTCCGCCCTGCTGAGTCTCAAATTCGGAGAACGATGTACACTGCGTATGAACTTCTCTCTTTCCTTACCACCCATTGTGCAGAAGGCCGTAGTTACCGACTGTATAAAGACTCCAGCAAGCAGCTCGTACTCATTGAAGCACACTACAACCAGGAAGATGAGGAGCAGACGGACATGGAGACGGACACGGAGACGAACACGGAGCGGAGGAGAACCAAGACGGTACAGAGAATGAACAACACCATTACTCCAGGGACAAAGATGACCGAGACAGATCCGGCGGACTCAAGCCCGACCGGTAAGTCGGACGGGGGTTCGAGTCCCGCTGATGGCTCTTTGGTGTCAGTGCGGCAGACGGTCGGTGTGAAGGAAGCGGTGGTGGTGGAGTGTTTGCGATTGGCGCAGCAGTTGGAGGCGGCGAAGACGACGGAGGCGACGGAGGCGGCACGGCGATTGCTCAAGTCAGCTCGAGAAGTGTTGGCAGCGATGCCGGAAGGAGGCCGAAGCGAGAGGTTGCGTTGTTCGGTGGAGGAGAGGTTATTGTTTTCAGTAATCTATCAGTACGGTAGGAAGCGCCAGGTTGTCTCGCTGGACACATTGGAGGACGTGGTGGTGCACAAGCGTCTGCGAGACCCGGCTTCGTTGCTCGAACTCAGTAGGCGGAGTACGATAGAATTCGGACTGCTCGAACTCTGCTTCGACGTGGTATCAAGACAAACACGCGCGTGTGCGCCGGATCCGGCCGCGTTAACACCCGCCTACATCGTACTGAGCTGCGTGCAACTCATTCAACTAGTCCGCGTCATCGAACGAGTCCAGCTATGGGCGGATAGGATTATACGGACACACACGGATACAAACTTAACAAACACGGATTCCGGATGCGGAACCCGTTCACATAGTTGTAACAGGAGACATACTCAAAGCCGCAGACCCTTCGCGAACCGCGCTTTTATTTCACTTTCCTGTGTGACGGAGTTCCTCTTCCTATATGCACGACTCGGTTACATCGCCGATTCAGCTGCTGTGGGCGGCATCAAAGACTTCGGGCATAAGTTCGAAAGCATCCGTAATCTCTGTGGCCGGTGGCCGTGGCTTGCTGAAACCTGGCACCGTACACTCGACGTCAGCGATCGTCTTAAACGCCTCTGCAAAGCTTGTTGGGCCGGAGACGGGTCCGTCCCCACTACTGCCATGGCTGCCATTAATAACCTCGAAGGCTTCCGCGTCATCACGCTCAAAGCTCTACTCCGCAAATGGGCAAACGTCGGAACTGCCGTCGGAACTGCCGTCGGAACGCCAGTCCCTGTTGCTCAAGAGTGCCCCGCCAGAACCGCCAAAAAAACCACAATCGACTCTCACGCCACACAACGCATCTCCACCTGCGTTGGCAGTCTCTTCCGGTACCTGGATCGTACCTCTGTGGGCCGATCTTTCAACAACCATTTTGGCTCTTCCATGCTGCTCATGGTCCGACTTCTCAATGACGAGGCAGCGAGCAAACTATTCTTGTTCGACGTCAAGAAAAGACGAAGGTCTCTTGCTCTGGGCGCTGCGCAATTGGTCGTCGCCATGCAACTGCTCCGGATGAACATTGCTGCACTTTGCAGCTCTGCGAGTACCACACAGAGTACCGACGTTCAGATCACGAACAATACGACCGGCAATAGTCACACCACCCCCGACAAGACCACCCCTGACAAGACCACCCACGACAAGACCACCCACGACAAGACCACCCACGACAAGACCACCCACGACAAGACCACCCACGACAAGACCGCCCACGACAGGACCACCCCCGCAAACGACCCGATTGATGAGTCTTTGGAGCTGCCTTTGCGTTGGCTGTGCGTAGTGGGACTGAACCTGCTGCGGACCATCCAGTTGTCTTCGTTCACCCATCGGCTCACTTCCAAAGACAATCTGGAGGGAGCCTATGGCGAGGGAGGCGTGTCACCCTTTGCGGAGGTCGGCAGTTGCTGCACAGTGCACCAGCACCTGGTGTACTCTGTAGCAATAGAGCTGGCGAAGCGGCTAGCGGATGTAGTCAGTCTCCTGCCGGGCTCCTCTATCGACGCGGCAGCCGGAGCGGCGAATATCGCTGGCGTGAGTACTTTTGGCGGAGCGGAGTCGGACGGGAAGCCCTTCTTCCCGTTGCAGACCGGGATGACCATCGACAAGGTGGTACCGATCGGAGTGTCTCTGCAGTCCGTGTCACAGTTCAGCTCCAAACAAATGGCCGACATCATCAGGGAAAGAATTCCTTACGTACATATGGCGGCGGGTGTAGACTTGATGCAGTACAGTCCTCCTCAAAAAACTCTGGTCACCGGCACACGGTGGCGGAGTGCCACTGGCGGAGTGCAACCTGGCGGAGTGCAACCTGGCGGGCGGCTTGCAAACAACTCCGGCGCAACTAAACCTGAGCGGAATAAACGGGAGGCTGTACGCAGGCTAAAGGTGGAACATAGCCGACGACCTGGGTCTAGCGGACGACCTGGGTCTAGCGGACGACCTGGGTCTAGCGGACCACCTGGGCCTAGCGGACAGGGAGTCCAGGAGAACGAGGTGCAAGAGGACGAGGTGGGTCGGATCTGGGATTTTCCGCGGATGGCGAAGCTTTCAGAGGGGCATTATGTGTTTAGGGCTGTCGAGCACGTGTGTCGCGACATTGTTGACAAAATGCTGGACAAGAGTCTTCGATTGCTTCTTGAGACGTACGGTTGTGGGGATGACGCAGAAACTGATGCGTTCTTCCTCGAGCCGTCGTTCTGTTTGGAGTCTCTGGCAATGTCAGTGACGCGACCGGAGAATAAGGAGGACTACTTAAACCTGCTGCGGCGACTACCCAAAGAGTCTGGTGCCTTACCCAAAGAGTCTGATGCCTTGCCCGAAGAGTCTGGTGCCTTACCCAAGGAGTCTGGTGCTTTACCCAAGGAGTCTGGTGCTTTACCCAAAGGGTCTGGTGCTTTACCCAAAGGGTCTGGTGCTTTACCCAAAGGGTCTGGTGCTTTACCCGAAGGGTCTGGTGCTTTACCCAAGGAGTCTGGTGCCTTACGCCTTACCGCCAATGTGGACGAGGGTGTCAAGGGTGTGGAGCACGGAGACAGGTCGTCGAGTGGACTTCCGGCTTCTGCGGTAGCTGTCCAGCAGATGTCGGACTTGATCGCTGGTAATCTGCCTCGATGGGTGCAGGCCGAAGAAGCCTTAGAAGGAGTTAACTGGAAGAAGGTTTTGGA